AATAATACGCATTGATACATAAAGGTTTGTCTTGTTTGACCGGTACGTGGAATAATAAAATAAACACCGTGTGGTTTGCGCAAAAGAGAGAAATAACAAGAGCAACAAATTGATTGACTAAAACGGAAAGTGACAAAGTTTTTGGGATAACCGAAAAAGGAAAGTTGGCAAAATTATAGGGGACGGAACATTTATGTCGATTAGTTTCTATATTTCCGCCGATAATTTAGGTGAAAGTAATTAAACTACTCCGTCTTTTGCAGTCCACGTACTCCATTTTCATTTGCTGAAAATAATCTCCTCTGCTTTCATAATGATGGGGTAAGATCACTTTCCAGAGGTGATTTTTAGTAATGTCAACCTATATTTTTCCGAAAGGGGTGTTCTTGCACTCTATTGTACACATTTTTGTACATTTGTCTGTATACACAGGCAAATGGCAGAAAAGTGTTGTCTTCTTCTTGACGAATTGCCTGTGTGCACAGACAAAATAGGGGGGTGAGTACAAAAATGGATACAAAAGTGAATACAAAGAGAATTTTTTGTTAATGTTATTTGTGCTATCATCAATTTAGTTTATATTTTGATTAGTCTTTGCATCAGAGAAACTTGCATTTTTTGCAAATGGACTATAAACTTTTATCAAATTATTGTTCACATTTGTTCGTTATCTTTCATTCGCTAGTTTTTTTAATTACCATTCTTGACATATTCTTTGAAACTTTATATGAACATGTCTCCCTATGGCTTTTACATCATTATCTTTTTCACAAATTGAAGATTATATAGTCTGTACATATTACCTGCCAATGTACAAATTTAAAAGTGTTATCTCTACCTATAATAATCTTTGATGCACACGGACACACATGATCAATGGATTGGAAGAATGAAATTTATGCGAAAAATTGCTCGTTTAATGACTAGAGGGCATAGTCAGGACCGCATGCACGTTACTATGTTAGAGTGAGTCGGCACAAAGAGTTTTAACACAAAATCTTTTACGTAAAAATACATTTTTTTAAAAACATGGTGTGAGCCGGTTGGGCCTAGTGGTGGACCGGGCCCGGTCCGGTTCGGGCCTGGAAGGTTTAGGGTAAGGACTGGAACCGGTCCAGTAGGCTACCGGTCCTGATTAACTTTTTTTTTTGTGTGTTTTATTATTTATTTCAACCCCTACACCCCCACCCCCCAATTCCCCCGCCCACCCCCCCAAACCCCTCAGAATCACCCAACCCAGCCCACCTAAACCCAGCGCAACCCCTCCCCCCCCAAAAAATAAGAGGCCCGAACCAGGCCCAAAACCGGCCGGGCCGGTTCACCTTTTTCTTGCACCAGAACTGCCCCCTACCACTCGGGCCTAGGCCCGGAACCAGAACCGGTTTCCCGGGCTGGTCCCGCACAGTAGCGGGCCGGTCAGACCGGACCGGGTCCACCACTAGTTGGGCCTCTAGCCACTAGGCTCTAGCTCCACGCCTTCACCAGTCCCAATGTATACTGGCAGAATTTTGTAAACCCTAGTTGTAGTACTATGTCATTTTGTCTACTCTTGCGTATGAATATAGTCATTTTGCGAATATACTTTTCAATTTACATTTTTTTCCAAAAGAAACATTGGTGGAAGTGCACTTGCCGTGTCTATGTGTAACAGGTTACTATATCTATTAACATCTCTTTGCAAAATTCTCAAAGTGAGTTCTAACATCTAACTTAGAGCCCGTTTGGTAGCACCAAAATCGGCTGTTTTGGCTGATTCTGCTGAAATTTATGATATTCTGGCTGGAGTGGCTGTTTTGGCTGATTCTGCTGATTTAAGAAAAAAAATATTTTAAAAATATATTTTATTAATAAATTAAAGAAAAAATTATATGTAAAAATAGCTAAAATGGTCCTCTATAGTAACTTCAGCCAATACAGCCAGAAAAGTAACTTCAAGCTTACTTTTTCGGCTTATTACAAAATTCAGTGCGCGAAAGTAAAAGTTACGTGTTTGGTGAAAAAGTTGGCTGATAAGCCTGATAAGCCGAAAACAGAGTTCTCCAAACGGGCTCTTAGTGATATTGACTTTTTCGGGCTCATGTTCGAAGGTTCAGATAAGTAAGGAAGATGAAAATAATGACCAGCAGAAAGAGGCAAAGAATGCAATAAACTCGAGATTTTTTACATAAATATTACTAAAATAAAACTCATGTACACAAATATGACTATTAGTTACTAGTTACTACAATGTAATATCATACTTAGGGATAGACCCGGGCTGGGCCGGTTCCGGTTCCGGGCCGGGCCCGGGCGGGCTTTTTTTACAAACATGGGCCCGGAACCGGCCCGGGGTGATACCGGGTCCGGTCCGGATCGGGCCTACCCGGCCGGGTAGGGGGCCGGTTCGGGCCGGGCCCGGGCTTTTTTTTTTTTTTGGTTTAAATTAAGATGTAGTACAATTGGACAAGTCAAAGTTAAAATATATTTATTTGAAATATGTAGTACAATTGAAAATTGAGCAAAAATTAAAACATGAAATACACTTTATAATAAATAAGAATCAATCGGAATTTCCGCCATCTTCGGTTGTTTCTTCCATAAAGTGGCGGGTGGGTTCAATGCTAACTTCTTGAGTTCTACGTTTGGCGTTCAACCAATCGTGGAACTATGCAACTACTTTGTTAACAAATAATTAAATTAACAAGTTTAATTAGAATGTAGAATTTAAATATGCAACTACAATGTAATAAAATTAACTAGAATTAAATTAAATTAACAAGTTTAAGAAATAATTAAATTAACAAGTTAACAAATAATTAAATTCGAACAAGTAAATTAACTAGAATGTAACAATGCAATAAAATTCGAACGGTAAGTTAACAAATAATAAATAAATAGGTAGGGTGTTCCCCAGTCCCTACCCCATCCTCGGATGGTGTGCACTGGGATTTAAAAAAAATAATAATAAAAATTTAACAAGTTTAACTACTTTTATTATAAAATTCGAACAACTTTAATATAATTAACAATTAACTAGTTTTATAGGAGAATAATAAATGTAACAATGAACTAGTTTTATAGGAGAATAATAAATGTAACAATGCAATAAAATTTATAGGAGAATAATAAATGTAATAATTAACTAGTTTTATAGGAGATTAAGAAATGTAACAATTAACTAGTTTAACAAGTAAACAATTAACTTCAAATTATTGTCTAACAATTTTTAATGTAACTATTTCAAATAAACTAACAACTAACAATTAACTACTTTTATAGCAATGAACTAATACTAAAATGATAAGTAAAACCATTAACTACTTTTATGTTAATAAAGAATGTATGAGTGTGTAAACAAAATTAATGGGAGTGTGAGAGTGTATAAGCAATTGGATAAGTAGATAATAAGTGTATAAGTAGATGTGATTTATATATATATATATATATATATATATATATATATATATATATATATATATATATATATATATATATATATATATTTATAAGTAGATAATAAGTAGATTAACTAGTAATATATAATATTATGTTTATAGTATATATAATATAAGTATATTACTATAAGATGAGTAATACACTTATATATAATACTTAATATATATAAGTATATATTAAGTATATGTAATATACTAATATGTAAATATAAGTAAACAAAATTTATACTTAATATATATATTTATAAGTAGATAATAAGTAGATTAACTAGTAATATATAATATAAGTATATTACTATAAGATGAGTAATACACTTATATACTTAATATATATATTTATAAGTAGATAATAAGTGTTTAAGTAGATATACTTAATATATATATTTATAAGTAGATAATAAGTAGATTAACTAGTAATATATAATATAAGTATATTACTATAAGATGAGTAATACACTTATATATAATAGTAATAATACTTTAATATATATAAGTATATATTAAGTATATGTCATATGTAAATATAAGTAATTAAATTAGAGATAATTATATATGTAATACAGTGGGCCCGGCCCGCCCACTGTAGCAACCGGCCCGGCCCGGTGGCCCGGTCCAACGGCGGTTCGGGTCAAACCGGCCCGGTGGATACCAGTTCCAGGCCCGGGCCCTCCATTTGGTGAACCGGTTCGTGTGGATCGTTGCGCTTACCGCCACACTAAAAGCAATCGCTGATAGTGTAGCACGCCCTTCCCCTTTTTATAGAACAGGCAAAGCGCCACGCGGTTCGATTGCACCGGCAGGCTGGCAGATTGCTGACCGCAGACCCGCGGCAGGCCCAACAATCTCCCCCCCAGCACCTGCCAGCCTACAACTGAGCAGCATGCTGTTGCCGGGGGTCAAACCCGTGACCTTTGGCTCTGATACCAATTGTGGATCGTTGCGCTTACCGCCACACTAAAAGCAATCGCTGATAGTGTAGCACGCCCTTCCCCTTTTTATAGAACAGGCAAAGCGCCACGCGGTTCGATTGCACCGGCAGGCTGGCAGATTGCTGACCGCAGACCCGAGGCAGGCCCAACAGTTCGGGCCCGGTCCAGGCCGGAATTATTATTTATTTATTTATTTTTTGAATTTTTTTTAAGTTTTGGGTTGGATTAGGTGTTTTGGGCCATTTGAGGTGATTTGGGGTGGTTTGGGGTTGAGGGGAAGGGATAGGGGGTTAAATAAGACAAGCTAAAAAAAACATATGACCCGGGTGGCCCGGCCCGGAACCGGGCCCGGCCCGGTTCAAGGCCCGAACCGGGCCCGGCCCGAACCGAATCCACCCATACATAAATATATTAGTTAAAATAATTGGTCAAAGTTAACCATCTTTGACTTAACCATCAAAGAGACAAAATGACTAAGTAAATTGGGACAGAGGTAGTAGTAATTTAAGTTCAAAAATTGAACACAAATTACTATGATTTCATTACAACTCTAATCATTAATCACAATTTTGTAAAAAGTCTTCATTTCAATCATAAATACGTAATTATTTCTAAAATTTATTTCCCTTATGTTCATCGGTCGATCTCATTCAATGGATCAATTCATTATAATTTAAACGCCCAGTCCGTAGTTAGCCTTATATATTTAAACAATAACTTCTTAAAACAGAATATGGTACTTAAATCGGAAGAAGTACATAACATTACCTCAAAACCCGAAAATTAACATTTTCTATACTAATAAGACAACACTACGACAATAGCAATAAAGGTACTAGTAGTAACACCATCTAGCAATGCCACCTAGGACATAATAATTACTGTTCACATAACTGGCACTCGCAGCTATTATCCCCGCACGGCCACACCTCCACCGCAAAATAAAGATATGAACCTCTGCCAGCATTAAAATGTACATTCAATTAGAGTTTGAAATGCCTTAAGGCAATACTACTGTTGCTGCTGCTCATAGATCTGTAGATATGCCTCTGAGAGTGCAACCATATGCGAGAGTGTCTCTGTTACATGCAAGTCCTGCATCTCGAACCTGTAAAAATGTGCTGGAGTATGAGTCAAGGAAAAACACAATTGGACTGGCTATAGAAATAAGACAGAGGGGGTAAGGTTAAACCATAGTCCTCCAGACTTGCGCTGTACAAAAGCCCTATAGGATCCTTCCCCGGGTTTCCCATCATGAACGACGTTCGCTATCAGGTCATACTTGGAACACAGTTTTTCATTGTCCTTGGGTGGTGATGGAAGAGGGATATAGTCCTTCAGCTCTAGATTTTTCACAGGGAAATTTACTGGTACAAGAAAAAGGATAAGTACTGCATACTGCATACAAATAGAAATAGAGGAATGCCCAGGTCCAAACTTTTCCCAGCTGTCAAAACTTTTGATTTTGACTGTCAGATTTCAACACTAATAAATGCACATCCTGGATTTGACAGCCAAGTATAAAAGTTCTGATAGCTTTCTGTCTCATAGCTCTGACCTGGGCATTTCTGTACACACACGTACATACATGCATAACATATGTACACACACACATATATAATCATAATAGCAAAACTAGCACCAGAAGGAAAAAGTGTTTATGAACGACCACAGTAGTTGGAGTGGTGGACTGGTGGTATTAAATGAATTCCAATGGGAATAAATGAGACATCCTAAAAAAATCTCAAGGAATCTTCTCAAATTGACCCAAATTCAGAAGGTACTCAAAGATGGTGTTCCATGAAAGAGTAAGGTTGCATGAATTTTATGTATAGAAAAGAAGATATTTTCCAACCTTATGAGTACACTCATATGACATGATTGTGATAATAGAGAGCATGAGATCTACAGCCTACAGGTGAAGTAAGGTTATGTGTCAACAAAAACGAATTAATGTAAGAGCAGGGAATTTATCCTTGTCTGTCTTTATCTTCACATTAAATAAAACTGCAGAGGTGAACCAAAATTCATGATTGACCAAGCAACATAAAAGATTCAAATGACATTTCAGTATTTCTGTAATTAAATGCCTGATCCAGAATCTGTATTAATTGAAAATATACTTACCAAGAGTCGGGTTTTTTTCCACAAAGAAGTTGTTTTTTGTGAATCGGCGCATGTGCAGAATTAAATACTTTGGCAGTTTTGTCACACGATATCGCATCCTAGCTATATGAGGTCTTACAACTTCGGTCACAGTCTCACCATCAAACTTCTTAAGTATATTGAATAATGGAACCTACATTAGAATACCAGTGAATTTGCATTAAAATAATGAAATACACCAAAAGAAAATATTATTAATATTACTTAAACGAATAAAACAGCTTATGAACTCTGCAGCAGAATAACTGTGCTACTTAACAGATTTTTAAGATGATCAAAGTAGAATATCCATGAGCTCATACCTGAGGAATAATGTTTTTCTCCAGGACATCTTGGAAAAGAGGAGGTGGAGGTAAATCAAGTCCTAGCATCAAGAAAGGCATTTTACTTGTTTCAGTGAAAAAATTGACTGCCTCACTTCCAGCACCACCATTGGTTTGAGCATGTCCATTATCTTTCATCACCTCCAACTCACCCTGCAATGATGCACCATCAGAAAATTAGACTAACAGAAAAATAAAAAGGGACAAAAAAGGACCATTCAATAGAGCTACACCTGAAAGCACTGGTAGATTATACTGCTGCTTTTCTTTGAAGTTCTGAGATCATTGTGCAGGGTATTAAGAAGCCATGACATAAACTCAACAGGATCGGACTGCACACCAATTCGAAAACGTTTTTTGCTTGATTTCATAACAGCTTGCAAAAACTCATGTGGACTGACCTGCAAAAACTATAATATTAAGGACATATTCAAACTATTGCATCAAGCTGCGGTTGAGGAATAGTAGAGACCTGTCCTTTGAAGTTCCTGGCATGCCAAATCTTTCGTGTGAGCTCTCCAAATCGATGAACCAGTGGGGATTTGATGTGTTGATAGTTTTCAGGGATAAGAAAGAAATTCCTCAATGGAGTCACACGCATTAAAGACTGAACTGTAACATTGACAAAATCAGTCTCCTTTATGTTATTCAGGCCCACCTGACAAATTTGGCCATGAAAAAATAGAGTCAGATGATAATATATTCTGTAGTAATAACTAATAATCATTTAGAGCAAAAACATCATGAAAGTACGCAGCAGGAAAAAGAAATCGATTATATAAAATCCAAGTGTGGTACCGTTCCAGGAAGATAATCAGATCCATCAAGTGCCCTGGACCATTGTGTGTTCTTATCGAAGTCTTCAACTTGTTTCTGTGAAAATCTGCCAAGAGCCAAAGAGATTACCACAAAGCACGAGGGAAATAACAGTTAATATGTAAAAAAAAAATGATAAAAGCAATCAACATTGGTCCAAACAAACCTAGGATACAGGACATATCGAATATCATCAAGCGATGAATCTATAACTTCATATCCATCAGGAAGACAATAAATCTTCTCTGTCCGCAGATTGATGTAAACATGGTGCCCTGCTTCGAGGCTGTGGGTATATGCATGAGATTTTGGCCCCCTTCCTTGGTAATACTTCCCACAAACCAAACACGCATACACGTTTAAGTTTGTTAGAGAGACAGAACAAAATTTCTCAAAGTCAAAATCCAAAACCTGCAAAAGTGGAAGAAATGAATCAGAATATGAGCAACCTCATGGAGTGTTGGCAAAATCAATCCCATTAGTGCTTACATATTTATACGTGCAGGGCATTCTAAACTTTTCATTTCTTAAATATCCATCATTATTTCATTTTGCAAACTCTAAAGAGCTTAATCTAACTCTGCTTTTTTAAAAGAAACAGAATCAGAACAATCACAAACACTCCCTATATCATTCAAAAGGTTCAATGATACATTTTAATGATAATTAAGCACAACAAAAAGGAAATGCAGTGTCATATGAGCTTAGAAGAAATAATACAAAATTAGAACGGAGAGCAAGCAAGACTAATTGGAAACATACAAATGTGATTTATAGTCAGAACAAACGTGATTTCTAAAAAAATATAGGATACTGAGACTTTAGAGGAACACGTAGATATTAAAAATTATAAGTATATATTTATAATTTTTTTTTCATATATGTACACAGGTTCTTTCAGTTATATATATGCACATAATTTTTTTCATATAACTTTTATAATAACACAATAATAGAAGCTTTAAGAAAACCAATAATAGAAGCATTTTAAATATTCAAATTCAGAAATCATTACATATCAGTACATAATTGAACATAAAAATGCAAAGCATTTCTGGCAATGCACTACGTTATGAAAGGTCACAATGTTGCTAAAAAGAAATACCAAAAAACTTCACTATTTTTTAAAGAAAGTATATTCCATCACAGCATCTCATAAAAAATAAAAAAATGGATACCCAAGATTTCTGAAACACTAGGGGGTTGTGTACTAACGAAGATATATTCCGGTTTTCTAGAAAACATGAAAAGGGAAAACAGGAAAATCGGTTACCTAACCATTTTCCAAAACAAAAAAGAGATATGTTTGTTTTCCTTAATGAATTGGAGAAGTGAGTTTTACTAGTTTTCCAAATTTGAAATGTGTGAATGCTAGTGTTGTTGCAATGAATTTGCCCACTTACGCCTAGTGGTGGACATGGTCCCGCTCTGGTCGACGACGTGGTCCCCGTCCTGGTCTGGTCCAAGTTTTTTTAAATCTTTTTTTTCAAAGTGAAAAGTTTCAAAAGAGCCGTTGGGTTACCGACCAATAGGGAAAAAGGAAAAGAATTAGTCAAACTAGCCGTTGGGACTGACTATGATATGTTCACCTATGCAATTTCAACAAGAGCAAAAAACAATGCAAAAGTATGAGAAGGATAGGAAAGAGAACTTGTATATACAAACTCATAAGCGAAACAAGAAAGAGTAATGACCTGTCTATTAACTGTATCAAGATAAGGACAGTCCCTTCTCACTTCAACCATCCGTTTTTGCCTACCTCCACTTCTGTTCTTGCCTTCATCTTCATTGTCATCCTCTTCACTATCAGAATTGTTCTCACTTTCCCCTCGTCTTCCGCTTACAAAATTGTTATCTCCCTTGACAGCATCTTCATCCTCCTCCTCATCATCATCGTCATCATATGATGCAAGCGGAAGAAGTGCATTATCAAGGGCAAGTTGAGGAGATTGAGAGAATGAGTGAGAGGACTGATCTGCCAACTTCGGTTTTTTTGACAAAGTTTCCTCATTAAGCTTAGTATTTTCTGCCTCCCTCTGTGAAGTCATTCTCTGAAGATGATATACGGACCTCGCTGAAGGCATAGCATTAACGGGTAACAGTTAGATAACATCAAAGCTAGAACATCACTTAAACCAGAGCATAAATGCTTAAACTATAGTTTCAATATTCATCAACATTTCTACTCTCAAAAAAAAGTATTCATCAACATTTCTAAAGTCTAAACTAACTCATAAGTAATGTTTGAGCTCAATCAACACGGTTTCTAATGTGATTCTGAAAAAATAAGAAGTATATTAAAAAGCATAAGACTGGAGTAAGTGGTTCTTTGGTTAGAATCTACAGTATAAAACTACATACTGCACAATCTTTCATATACATGTCTCATGTCTGTGCACATGTTTGCACCTGAGCTTCATTATCTCAGTCCAATTATACTATTATAGCGATTTAATTAATTCTACTATGGTGCTTCAAATTGTGCATTAGGCTACTATGTCTAAGTTTATTTATATGCATTACAAGTAAGGTATTGTCAAAAAGGAAAGTTATTAAATGAGTCACTAGTACTAAATACAAAACCCTTGACACTAACACAGACTTCCTTGAATAATTTGACTGATGGGCTAATATAACAACTGATTGTCCAGTTTGGAATGAAAAACAAAGAGTCACTCTAATTCTACTTATAAATCACACTGTTTTGATTAGCTTATGAAACTATAAAAATAATTAAGTTTTGATTACCTTATGACTTTACTTTATGAATGTGTGTGTTTGTGTGTATGCCCTTAAAATTAATTTCTAGTTCTGCCACTGCCAGATACCATTGCCAATAGTAACAGTGACCACCAGTGGCGGAACCAGGTCGGGTAACTTGAGGGGGCACATTAACAAAATAAAACATAATGAAGAAGAATAACCAAAACAATAAAAATTTAAATAAAACTATTTAAAGACCATTCTAGGCTTACACAAGTTTCAATCGTTTTACGTAATCCAGAATCACCAACAATGTCACCGTTCAACAATTCACTTCTATTCAAGTTTTTTGCCGTTGTTTTCAGTGTTAAGAATGAAATTGATGGTTCGATGAAGAACCACCAATGTTTGGCCCTATACTAACTTTTGGAACTGGTGTATAAATTCGCAAAATTGGGATTGTTTGTCAAACAACCTAGAAATAGTAGAATTGAAGTAATACTAGTATAAGCGTAAAAATTGAAACTAAATCAACAAATCTACAATTACAATACAAGGAACAATCTATTAATTGAGAATGCAATTTCACAAAAAAATCCAATGTATACAATTGAATTACTAATGAACTTACACAGTTACACCAAATGGAAAACGGAAGTCTCCGGGCGGACCGGGCCTCCGGCAAGGCGGCAACGCGGGCCTCCGAGTCTCCCACAAGGCAGGCGTAGTGGCTGAACGGCGTTGCTCGTCCTCACTCGTCAGCGGATTCGTCGGTCGGACGGCGGAATGGTTATTCGGTGGGTTGGTGCTCGTTGGGCAGGGACGCCGGACGCAGGCTTGGTGCCAACTTTCTGCGCAGAGGAGAGAACGACTGGACGAGAGGAGGGCTTCCTGCTGGACGCTTCCACCCGTAGATGCTACTTCACGGTCAGGGCTTGGGCTGGGACATTGTAGATCCGTAGATGGGCCGACAGATGGACTGGTGGGCTGCTGCGTTCTGTCTTCTGGGTGGACTCACTCCCCTGCACTGCAGGGGCTGATTAAAGAAATATTATTAATATAATATAAATATAAATATTATTAACATAATATATATAAATATAAATATAAATACATATAGAGAAAAAATGTCTCTGCAGGGACACTGGCCCCTCCAGGCCCCAGGGTGGTTCCACCCTTGGGGCCTCCAGTTATCGCCACTGCCAGTCAACGGAACGATTGCTCAAAAGAAGAGTAAAATGAAAAAGAAGAAGTAGAGTATGAACCTGGAGGTGACAATGACGATGGCCTAGGTTGGATGGACTGTGGCCGTGAAAACTGAATCAGGGACGCTTTGGGGGTGCAACGTCAAAAGCAAAGGGCGGGCGCGAGTATGGGTGAGTTCGGTTCAAACGGTTCGGTTTTCACCTAAAACCAAATATCGAACCAAAGTAAAAAGTTCAATTCGGTTCGGTTTTATGTTAAACAATTTGGAACCACAGTTTGTTCGGTTCGGTTTCTGTTTTTTCGGTTTTTACCAAAGTATTTTTGTTGATTAGAAAAGTAGTAATTGGCCGGAAAAAAAAAAAATAAGCTACATCAACTATTATTATTAGTAATACAATACAAAAACATATAATTAAATAAGAGAGAAGAATTTCTTCTGAAGAAATAAATGCATTTCCAAACAATGAATTAAAGAGTATGTGTATAACAATTTAAACATTTTCTAAATTAATTAAACGCGTGAGTTTATTCGTGAATTATATACAGTGTATTCGCAAGTTAAAATTTATTTAGTAAATAACTGATCATACTTACTTTTTATACAAAGATATTCTGCTATGCCGTTTAAAGTATTGTTTATATTTATACATATTTGTTCAATATATAAATTATGTGATAAGTGATAACAAGCATACATAAATATTAACAATAGCTAGATTTAAGTGTATGACAAGTGTTTCACTTAATTAATACAACATATATCAACAAAATTTCATTGACATACAACAACAAGCAAAATATAAATTATGATTTAAAATATCAACATATTAGTATTTATAACAATAGATTTAGGTGTATGTACAAGTGTTTCACTTAATTAAGCCATAAATATTAAATGTCAATATCTTGCAAATCATAAAAAATCTAGTATTAAACATTAATTTTCTTAAAGAATTAAGAATTAAGAACTAAATGATACACTCAATGATTAATAAATAAAACAACAAGTTTTAAAACATTCGGTTTATTCGGTTCGGTTCGGTTCGATTTTGAGATGTGAAAACCAAAACCGAAACCAAACAACTACGGTTCGGTTCATTTTTTTGAGTTCGGTTTCGGTTTTCTTGCGGTTCGGGTTTTTTCGATTCAGTTTTCGGATTTCGATTTCTCCAACCCACCCCTAGCGCAAAGGCCAAGGGGAGGGCATTAAAGTCACTTCAGTTCTATGTGATCTCTTTTTTATTTAATTTAAATGGAAAAACTAATGTTATACTCCATACTACATACTCCCTCCATACTTTTGGAGTAAAGTTTTTAATGTTCACCACGATAGATTTGGTGGTCTCCATATTTTTAATGTCATTACGATAGATTTGGGCACATTATTTAAGAATGAAATTATAAGGATAATAAATAATGTAAAAAAGTAGGAGAGTGAGTGAAAGGGTATAAAAGAAAAGATAAGTAGTAGAAAAAGTAAGGCTAATGAATATTTTTGGAGAGAAAACTTTTTTTTGACTGAAATGGGCTTAGATAAATAACCAATAAAAGTTCAGAGTATGGGTCAACTGACAAAAAGAAAACTGATAACTGCCATCCCTCGAACCAGACTCATCGTCGTAGCAATATAATTCTCTAATCCATAACCGGGAAACAAAAAGCCTAACACGGTTACCAAATTCCTCTCATCTCCCACATCCAACATCAACGTCTTACAAACTGGAACAAAAACAAAGAAACACACACCAAAGCAAAAGTAACAATTGTTGGAAAACTAAACAAAACAAACTAAATAACACCCCTGCCGTCGCCAGAGATCAACCCTTGGCGGTGGTTCTGGAGGGGGCCGTACCGTCGGTACCACACCAATTGATTCTCCATTGACGATCAAAATTTGGAATACACGAAGCCCGTTCATTCCTCCGCGTCCCCCTCTTATAGCAAGACCGCAACTAATTGTTTTCTTCTCCGCTGCCCAGCCGTGTACAGCTTTCATCTGCCTTCCCGCTTCGCCGTGTAAAATCCGTCAGCAAAATTGCCTCCCTGCGAAAACCCTCGCTCGACCCAAAAGACGAAGAGAAACAGTCAAGCCAAAGAATTGACCTGCCACTGCAGTCTTCGAAGCCCTCCGAGAACACCAGCACCCACCGCCGATCCCGTTCCAACCTAAAGCAATGGTTGAAACGAAAACGGGACAACAAAAGCTACACTAGGCGGCGGCGATAAAGCCGAAACCTAGAGAGAAATCTGAACCCTCAAAGGCTCTTCACCTTTGGAATTAGAGAGAGAAAACTTATCAAAAAGAATGACAAACTTTTAAATGCATCCAAAAAAGAAAAATTAGCAAACATTAAAATAAGGAGTATTTGTTTCATTTTTTCAAAGCTTTCAAATGTTTGTGTTGGTTTCTCTACTTTGAAAAATAATACTACGTTTATTTCAGAGATTAAGTGAAAAATAATTAATAATTAAGCTTTAGGATTTGAAAAGATAGGTGATTCTTAAAAACTAAAATTTAGAATATTTGGTTAAAAATACTTGTTATATTCAGAAAATTTAAAAACAATTTTAAACACTCTTTCAACTACTTTTAATTTTAAATTGAAGCCACTAACTGAAAACGTACACTTTTTAACCAGGGAGAAGGGCCAAAATTGACATCAAGGTTATTTACTAAACTCATATTGGACATTAAGCTTCTGTGTAGACCAAATTAACACAAACTTTAAGTTTCTGCATCACATTTGGACACCGCTAACGTCAACCTTGAATTAACGGCTTCCCTCCGTCAATTATAAGGTTAGTACCAGCTCCCGTTTCTTCTCTGTCGCTATACCCCTTTCTTCTCACCGCCATAGCCGCCCACTCCTTTGAAAACCCAAACCCAGCAAATATACCTCCTCCACCAAATATAGCCCAAAATCTTATTTTGACTCCGGCCACTTGTAATACTCACCACTTGCAAAGCGACATGCGAGGACCCTGATGTCCCACTCCTTCTGATTTTTTAATTAATTCAAACAAATGTCAATCGTGGTTGTGAAATAACAATTTGTTGGACTGAATTTTGCTTAGTAGAAGAACGAAAATGAAACCTGGTTCTATATGACACTTCGTAATAGTATAACAAATTGGTTTTTCTATAAGAACTAAAAAAAGAGATTGGACATTCCTCAGTGAAGTGAAGCCCTAATAATTAATTTCGATAGTAAATCATAGCTTCTTCCAATTACTAGATCAGATGTCGATGTAGTTTCACTATATTGGAATCCGCAAGCAGAGATTTTTAGGAGACATGGGTGGAGAAGGTGATTGAGACCACTTGGAGGGCTCTGCGGAGCAGAGTTTAGATGCAAATTGAAGAAGACAGACGACAATGATGGGTTGGAGACAGGTCAAATGAGTAGAAGAGAGGGGTTTCTTGACGGCGGGGGCTGATACATATATAGAAGCGGGGCTAAGAAATTGGGGATGGCGTTGCCAAGCCGACGAGGAGATTGAAGGTGGAGGCCTGGGCAATTAACGTTGAGTTGAACAGAAATGTGAGTGGGTGGCCAAATATAATCCAAATAAGTTGTTTATGTATTAATTTGGTCTACTTAAAAGGTTAGTGTCTAATACGAACTTCATAAATAACTTTAGTGTTCTTTTTGAGCCTTCTCCCTTTTAACCATTTTAAATAACACTTTAAGCTAGCAACTTTATTATTTCAGAGACTTTTTTTTCGTTTATTTCAAAAGTCTTTGTCACTTTTCTTTTAATTTAAAACAATAAATTTGTTGTTCTGTACATTTTTCTTTCTATCACATGCACATATCTCAAACACACAGTTTTTTATTCTTTAGCATTAAATCTAGTCTCAGCCATTGAATCATTTGAAAAATTGAATTCTAACAAGTTTAATTCACTTTATAGAAATAAAAAATATTCTTTATATGGTTCATCATAAAACAAATTTAAGGTATAAACTCGAAACTACTACATCCGCCTAGGGGTGGACCCGGTCCGGCACTATTTGGGACTGGATCGGGTCTGTTTTCCGGTCCAGGTTCAAGGCTGGGTACCCGATCGGGTAACCAGCGGGCTCAGTCCCGGAGTTGAATTTCGGGGACCGGATCAGGTGAGTTCGGTCCCAACCCGACCAATATTTTTACCTTGAAAACAAACAAATATATATATATATATATATATATATATATATATATAACTAAACTAGGTCCGGACCCCTACATTCGTCTCATTAACATTGGAACATGAAGAGGTGATGTGATTATCAAGAAAAGTTGATTTATGTAGTTGATATTGAGTTGTTAAACTAACAATCTAGAACAAAAATGAAAGAGGTATAAGACAATTTTAGTGGGACGGAACAAAAATGAAAAATGAAGGAGGTATTAGTTAATACTATCCTCCGTCTCTTTTTAATCGCAACATGTTGAATTTTACACTATTCACATGTTCTACCTTGACTACATTTTATATTATTATTTTATGAAAATTAATTTTTTTTAAAAAATATTGTTCAATTCATCTCATTACAAATTTTCAAAATCTAATTTTTAAATATTTTTTACTAATAGAGATTAAATAATAATTACGGTCAAAGACGTGCGTTGGCAAATGTGAAATGTTGACCGTTGCAACTAAAAAAGAACGGAGGAAGTATTAATGAGCAAAAAAAGGTTCACTAACTT